GTATTTACGATACAAAACGAGGGTCGATAGTTCATGGAGGGGGGGGCTACCATATAGATATAGATAGGTGTCGATGCATGCATATATATATATATACATATACACACATATAACAAATCAATATTAATCGCTGTAAGTCAGCCTAGAATCTAGAAAATCAATATGCGAACTGCATACCCGGATTTACATAGAAAGCGCTGATAATCAGTTATAGCATTTATTGATTTGACAAATCGAAATTCCATCACACCCCCTAACAATAAAAACACATCGGGGCAAATCCTCCCAAAATCATTTCTTCGTTTTAAACCTATTCTGAATTAGGGGGGAGGGTTTCGAGGCTCCAAATACCCGTAGAGCACAGTAAGAACAAGAGCAGAAGCGGGAGCATCGGCAAGAGCAGCAACAAGAGCAAAGCAAAAGCAAGAGCGGGAGCAAGAGCAGGAGCAAAAGCGGTAGCAAGAGCAGGGAGCAGGGGCAAGAGACGCAGCAGAAACAGGAGCAAAACCCAGCGCGGGAGCAAGAGCCAGAGCAGGAGCAACGTCCCCTCAAAAGTGGCAGTAGAGATAAAATACCCCCTAAAAATGAAACCATTTTGCGAGTATCTATTGGGGGGGCCCCCCTTTTAATATTAGGGGGAAGGGATTAACCGATGCCCAGGGGATGCGGCCGCAAACGTTGCCGGCCGCATACACTGCGTATTCTACACTGCGCCGATGTTGTTAGGAGGCATTCGCCTTGTGCTCACTGGACAAGATTACCGAGATGAACCCACAGGCGGTGGTGGGGAGGGTTTGGAGTATAGGAACAAACGATATCGAGACATCCACCCTTTCTCTTCCCTGCAGGGACCGGCTAACATTGCCTGGGCGCGGGCCAGGGCCTCAACATGACTTGATCCGGTCCAAGACTTGCACGACATAACGGAGCGCTGCGAACATTCCTGTAGACAAGTAGGAAAGTTGAAGTCTTCCTGAGTATCGTCGTGGCTGATTTCAAGCAGCCTGCCCAATGGCCCATAGCAGCATGACTTTTGAGGAGATGAAGGAAGCAGGGAATTGACCCTGCAGACCCAGTTCAGCTAACAACATGGGCTGTGTTGTGAGTGGGGCGGTTTCAGTGCAGATATCACAGCGATGGTAGTGGAAATGCAAGTCTTGCTGTTTTGATTTCCAATAATATCGCCGCAGCCTCTATATCGTGCGATATCTGTTGCTTGCAGGGACGTTTGGTCTTGCTGGAGCAGCCATTGATGCACGCGGCTGGCAAGCACACTGCCGGAGCCCTGAAGCGGGCAGTATGGCTTCTAGACGAGTGCAATCAAGTCAAGGAGTCAAGTTGGCGCAGGTTCGGAAGCAAACCAATTTAGTTGCCTTGGAGTCTTGCTGTTCTTGCTGCCATACTGAACCCAGAGAACTTCGTCCCTCCAGTCAAGTTTCTGCAATCTGCCCAAATTCAGGTGGAGAAGATTGCTGAGCTTCAGAGCATTGACCTTGGCACCGCGAGAGCTAATTTCTCTTGAACTGTTGGATCTGTTGGAGACTGCAGAAGAACTCATCACTGCGGAGGCCAAAACATCTCCAACATCGGGTGGTCTACTGCGACTCCGGAGCTCAGATGGCCACTGCCTAAAGCTGAAGACACATGCTTCGCGTTGCGGTTCTGTGGCCAAGGCCGTCTTCGACCCACGCGACTGCGGCCGAATGCCGGCGCAAGGCCCGTCAGCTCACATAACCGGTCGCGGCGAGGTGACTAGGTATCAGAAAACAAGGGAAGCCTGCACAGTCCTTTTCTGCAGGTGTCGGTGCTGAGCTGCCAAGACCTTGCAAACACGGTCAGGACCTCAAAAAGCCAATGTTTATCCTGGTACGACGGATAGGAAGACGTGTACATCGGTCACGGAATAGCTGTACCGGTGGCGGTTTTGTTCTATGGTCACATGACCTGTAGGCGCGATGCCTCGCCAGACCCGGAGCGACTGGTGAGATGCTCATGAGCCTGATCCCCAGCAGCTTTTACAGACAGCACATGTATCTCAGCCAGCTTCAGCTGTGGTTTGGCTTTGGACAGCTTCATGATGTTCATGGATCGAGACAGCTTTGACTTTGCACTTCGCTACGCTGCAAGAGGCTACCCATCTTCGAGAATCCATACAGTGATAGTTGGAGTCAACCATGCAGGAACCAGTCCCTGCCCACTACCGTTGTCTAGTAGAGTCGTGAAGTCTACATACTATCAGTCGAAATGCAGTGATCAGGGAATCGTCGCCTGTTGCCCTTCTAACAGACTGGAAAGAACAGCTGCCTCAAATAATCGCATTTCGATAACATATTTGCCTGGGTTGGGCTTGGCGTGGCCATGTGCGAGTTGCAGCAGACTTGGCCAGTGCAGATCTCTAGATTGAGACTCTTACCGGTCCTACCGCACTCGCAGAGCCGGCGTTGGAGTTCGGCTAAAACGCTCCCCGTGCTCGACGCTATCCGTCCCAAGTTAGATCTACAACTGCCAGCTGCAGCGATCTGTCTTTCAAGCGCTGCATTGGCCCCTTGACAGACATTTCAGCAAAGTTTGTTTGTTCCTCTGCCAGTCGCTCCCATGCACATGCTCCGACAGTCAAGGTATGGACGCCCAGGTCTGCCAGACGGAAAGCAATTGGCAGCAGATTCAGATGTGCTGCACTGCGGAGCACATTCACGGGTTTCACCAACCTCTTGGTGGATGCAGACGTGCACAGCATCGACAATATCCGGGACGCAATCGGTGAGTTGGAGAAGATGAAGCAAGTGGTGCATACAACAGTTTTTGCCGCACCCGGTCGCGATTCCAACAAGCGATGGAATGAATTATTCCAGGACGGCCGGATATGTTTTCGTCCGGTCCCGCGGGACAAGAGCAAAGCCACGGAAGCAAATGATGATATTATAATCCAAACCCTTACAACGTGCGACGATGCCCCGAGTTTTGCGCTCCTGGCTTCTGACTTTGATTTCGTGGATGCAATTAAGCGGGCCGCGGACCGTGGTAAGCAGGTTTTTCTGTTCATCCCATCCAGCAAAGTAGGGGTAATCAAGCAGTATCTTGATGCTGGCGTTCACGTCCACGAGCTGAAGTCCCACTCGGATTTGCCGAAAGTCAGAGCAGTTCTTTATGCAGATGGCAGCGGGGATGTGAAAGCGGATGGTCCGTGGCACCTTCCTGAGAATGCCGATTCGGCAAGTACATGTGAACAATTTTTGATGAACCTTGGATTCATGGAAGAAGCGCGCAGGGAGTTCATGGCGCAGTCTGCGGCCAAGTTCTGGCTCACGAATGAGCTGGGGGGATCACTCACTGTGTTTCCGCGAGAACTTTGCGTCAAAAGAGTTTGCGAGCTTATCGAGAAGCACAGCACGAGAAATTTGCGGAGATGTGCAAAAGACCTGGCTTTTTTCCTTCCTGCATCTGCGCATGGAAAGCCAAGCGGAGGGCAATTGGCCAAATTCGGCACAGATGTAGCAAGAACAGTCTTCAGAGGCGGAGGGCCCTTCATGCTGCAAGACTCATCAAGCATGGTCAGACAAGCACTGGAAAAGCTAGGATACATCGACGGAGATCTGAATTCGGATATGCTAGAGGCAATGCTTGTGTTCGTGAATGCTCCGGGGAACCATCACCGCTTGCGGAAAAGGTTGAAGTCTTTGCCTAGCTTCGGTGACGCCGCTCCAGACGTGGAGGAGAAGCTTAGGCATGCGTTTCTTTCTCACCTCACAGACGGCATGTGGCGTATATCGCCCCGTGATGACAGCATCAGAGCACGTCTTTGCAAGCAGGGATTCTTGGCGACTGCTGCCGCTCCAAAGCAGGATGTGTTTCGAGCGATGGCTGAGTACGCCAAGCAGCACCATCTCCCGGAGATGAAGACCTATAACGGCTATCTTTTTCGCATTCTTCGTGCGCAGGAGGCCCACCCGGAAGAGACGGGTACAATCGAGCTGAGGCGTTGACAATGAACGGCTGCATCCGGTCGCACAGAGGAGGTGGACTGTCCGTTCGTATTGCTAAAGGAGCTTCTGCGCCGACTCTTACTTTGCAGGATTTCGGGGGCATTGCCGCAGCAGCCATGGTTAGTCAAACCTGACTGTCGGACATGGAGGTTGGCTTAAAACTACCCCTTGGCCTCTGGCCTTGGCATGCGACCAGCTTCTGAAGTTAGGCCTTCACCACGAGGTATGAGATCACGACACCGACAGCTCGCAGAACACAAGACCCCGAACCTTGACCTTGCGATTCCCGCTGAGGTGCCACAGCTGCGCGAACTATGGCCTCTCTGGAAGGCTCAGCCCCGACGAAATCTGGTGGCCTAGGTCCTATTATAAGGTTCATGGGGGGCATCCCTAAACCCTAAACCCTAAACCGTTAAGGTTCCATGCACAAGGGCAGCTGGGGTTTGGAGGCAGAAGGTGTGACAGGTCAGAGCACCGAAGAGCATCGAAGGCTTAGACGAGCTGGGGCCCGAGCCTGAGATCTTCCCAGCACTCTTTCGACATGGGGGTTTCCGAAAATAGGGGACCCTAAAATAGTACCCCAAGTAATAGGATCCTTATTATAAGGACCCCCGAATAAGGTACCCTAATTTAGAGAACTACCCTCATTTTGCTGATGTGAAGTTTTGACTGTGATCACGATGGAGCCCTGAGCTGCTGTCGCAAATCCATCGCGAAAGTCGTCTCATCGCCTGTCAACTTCAGCCTTTGCAGCTCGAGAATCCCCCTTCGGATATCTCCGTGCTGGTCCTTCCATTGGCTCTTCGATGGCTACCGAGCTTCGCCTGCAGGCAGTGTCTTCAGGCTTGCAGGCACGCGTTTGGACGCCGCAGCAGGTAGAGGCATGAATCGAATTTTTGGCATTCTGAACAGAATTGCAGAACGTGGCTGAGACAAGCAAAGGTCACCATGCCAAACAGGTAGGAAGCATGTCACAGAAACCCGCACGTGTCAAGATGCATGCCAAAGTCCAGCACAAGAGCTGCAAGTGTAGCAGTCGTACATCTGCTCGCAACCACTTGTATACCTGCCTGCGGGCATACAGCCGAAACGCTGCGACAGCATGTGCTGACAGCAAGCCGCAAGCGGCTCGGAATGGACCTTGCCACTTTCACATACGTCGGATGGAGACCGTTACTTTCCTTCATGCATCCCCCTTGCGCCGCACGCTGCCGAGCCCAGGCAACGGCAACATGCGGTCACCACAACTTTGCCCGGCCTGGTCATCATCCGCAGCCCTTGGATGCGGCCTGGTTGCATCACAGGGGCGCGCGGAGGGCTTAATGACGCTTTCAGGGCTGGGGTTTGGCCGACTTGGCTTTGTGTGATTCTCATGGTGTGACTGGGTGCTGAGAGCCTTGCCCGCGCAAACGGCACCAATAAACGAGAAGAACATCATGGACAGGTCACGGACATGCCCGCTTCTGTTCGCAATAAGCAGCCGCTTGGAATCCTGTTGTTGTCCAGGAGATGGACCTGGATGCTGAGATGGGCCATTCATTTGCTCGACAGATCTCTCCGAATTGCCGGCTGGTAGACTGCAAGGCGACCGAGTAAAACATGCTACTCGTAAGAGCCTCATCGCAGCAACTGGCAGTGGCCATGATTGAACTCATAGAAAAACAGTCCTTGCAAAGTCGGAGACGCGAGCTGAACCACTATTATCACTATTGCTGGGAGACACGGCCTTGTTCACTGCTGCGTAATTGTTTGCCCCGTTTGCTCAGGTATACGATTACCATGATGTGCACATGCACAAACTGAAACTCTCTCTCTCTGTCACTCTCTCTCCGTCCCTCTCCCCGATACGGGGAGGTTCCATCTCCTACCTGCGCAGACCCTCCGGATGACACGAGGCCGCGATTTGCGAAGTAGGCAGCATGTTTGAGGGCTTGCGCACAGGCACCTTGCCTTTTTGTTGAACTTGGAGCTGGTCCGAGCCGCCCTGTGCTCGTGCACGCTCCCGTGAAAATTGAAGCTCAGTCGGGATGCCGGGGAGACATTGGCAGGCTTGACTTCGGCGAATTCAAAAGACGAGCACTGCTCCTTGCGACAGAGTTTTTCTGCTCCGGAGACGTGGAAGGCGGCTTTCTGAAAAATTGTGCTGGATTTGTCCCTTGAAGTCGTGATCTCGTGGCAGCAGCAACGGTAGCCTTTCTGCTGGCCCATTCTTCTCTTCCTGCCAGCACAGTGGAGGCATGGTGGCGTCCGTCAAGGGCTTGGGGTGCGCGGCTTTTCATGACGAACTGGCTGCACTACTGCTGCGCGCTTCTCTCGATCAGAGGGAGAAGGATGGGTTTGCGTGCAAACAGAGTGGCATTCTGACACCGTGATAGTTTGCAGAGGGAGGGATGGAGAGATGGAGCGAAACAGAGAGGGACAGAGAAAGAGCGAGCGAGGGGCGTCAGGACTGCTGGCGCCTCATGCCCTAGCAAAGCAAAGCAGAGGGAGGGAGGGAGGGAGGGAGGGAGGGAGGGAGGCCAGAAAAATGAGTTTCAGTTGCCTGCAGCGACTGCAAGGCGTAGGGCTTGTTCCCTTCGCAAACAGTGCGGCGCATGTCTGGGTCGGTGGGAGGCTCTAGTAAGACTTGCAAGAGACTAATCTTTCACTTTCTAGAGCACATTGACCAGAAGCCTAGCAAAGCACACTACCTGTCACCCACTACCGGCACTTATTGTCGGGTCACCTTGTTCGTGAAAACGCAATTTTAAAACCTCACCCCCATGGTCCGAGTTTCAAGTGAGCGCTTCACTGGTTCGTATTCAGGATCGGCGCACTCTCAATTGTTTGCATTTGGCTAGATGCATTACATCCCCCTGACACGAAGACACCTGTTAGCACGGAGGATCGCTGCACCGTCGTCCCCCTGCTTGCAGCTTTACATGATGCCGGCCTCCTTTCCACAGCTCAGCTGTCGAGAGGACAGACTGTTTGAAGCGAAGGGGGTGCGGTCAACGGATGTCTGTGTGGTAGAAGGTACGACTGAAGTAGAGGATCCTGGAGGAAGAGGAGGAGGAGGTGCAGGTATGTGCCGCAGAAATGACCCATGCGGTCGGCTTCTGTGCCAAGAGTCTCCAGCGTGTATGCAACTTGGCCTACACTGCCTCAATGTTCCGATCAAACAAACTCCCGTCCAGTCTGATGGGTTCGTTTCTGTGTGAGGGGGAGACAGTGGAGTACAGTGCATGTCTTCTGGCAGTCACCAAGCTCCCGTTGCAAAAGCATCAGTCGAAGGATTCGAGAAGTTGGTCCTCGCTTGGGAGGCTGGGCCGTGACAGGGGCAAGTTCCTGGCAATTGGGCTGATCTTCCTTCAGCGGCTGTAGGTGTGCTGTAGGTGTAGATAGTTCAGCTGAAGAGCTCCATGTGCCTGCCTGCTCGTAGTATCGAGTGGCAACTCAAGCAGTTGCTTCCTTTTGTTCCAGCTTCACCCATTCGCCGCCGCCCCGAAACGATGCAACCTCAATTTGAACTGGATGCATGTGGAAGTTTCTCCATTTCTGTCGAAGCATGCCAGGACCTGCAACTGGATGTCCCCGGAGCACCCGGGCTGCTGCCTGTCTTTTAATTACAGGGTCACGATATTGTCCCCGATGGAGGTATGTGGGGAAGCACCGCTTCCGAAGCCTGCACCCATCTGAGAATCATTGAAGCGGCGAAGCCGTGTAGTGCAAACAGGCATGCAAAGCCACGTGCCCAGCTGCGGATCGCGAGGTTATCCCTGCAATGCACTTAGCTGGCATGGGCACCCCATTGGCCAATCCCCCTCAAAGAAGCAAGGCTCGTGTCGCTGCTCTCCTCGCGTGTTGGCCTGTTCGACCGGAGCTTGCTGCTGAGAAAGCAAAGAGATTAAATCCCAGCCTTCCAAACGCAATGGTATCGTCTTCTGCCGGAGTTGGTGATGGGCGCCCGGAAACCTCAGCACCAACGACTGCCCCGGACATCATGGTCTTTCGAGTGGTAAGAGTCGTACAATCGTACAAACCGGAGAATTGAACCCAAACGGAAAGTTGACTGCGAGTTGCTTTGCCATCCGATGTAGAAACTCTGTTCAACCTTTTTGGACAGGTTCGCTCGACTCCCAGAGGAGCCATTGTTGATCTGCAAATATAGATTCCCGGATTGTTCTAAATTTTGGAACAACTTCAAGGTCAAATTGATGCAGGTGTGGTTCGAAGGAGCGAAAAATGCTTAGGGCTTGCGTCGGATCTTTGCTGGCGCTTTGCGGGCGCAGGAGCTGCTGGTCAAGGTGTGCGCGGAGCTGCCGGCCAGTGTTGTGCAGCGCACCATCCGCAGCCATTTGGAGGAGCCGAGCTCCACAGAATCGAAGATTGTGTTTGCAATCAATCATGTCAGTGGAGAATGTGTGGACAGTCTGCACGTGATGTTAGCCCGAGTTCACTGAGTTCTTGAATGGTCTTGGTTTCCGGAGCCCGCATCTGGTGCACAAGTGGCTGTGCAGTGTTCTTGCCTGCAGATGCATCTAAATTTCTGACATCAGCACCGCGTTGGAGGAGCTTACTGCCTTTAAGGTGGAGATGACGAGCAAAGCTTCTCTGCTGTACATCTCCATTTGCTTCCAGCCTTAGTTCTTCAATTCTGCATTTCGGCTTTCACTCTAACTCTATTCGTGCAGGTGTGTCCCGACCTTCATGTTGCTTGGTGCTATGCCATGCTTGCAAAGTAGACGGAACTTAAACAACAACGGAAGAAAGGTTGAGCACGACTTGCTCCGCACGGGCAACCCGGATGGCTTGGCCCACTGGCTTCGGGAAGAGTGCGTCCAAGACTGCAGTTTTAGGCTATATGACTCATGTGACAAGCTGAGACTCGCCACCAGAAACACTCATCCCGCACCTGGCATCCGAGGCAAGCCCGCTTTCCATCACGAGGTTGTCGTGGCTGCATGCCTCAGTTCCTTCAATGGCCAGCCTATGGCCGACGCGTTCTGGATGTCTTGCTT